CCCTACTATGTCAGTAAGGAAGTGCCTCAGGGCTCGTCCCTTTCTCCGTTCTTTTTCAGTGGGTATGTGGCAGATATATTCAGGCCATGCATGCAATACTCTCCCAGTGTACGTCAGTTGGTAGTCTCCTATGTCGATGACAGGGTCATTATGGTAGCAGCGGAGTCCTGTAAAGCAGCCTAATATCATGCGGGAGAGATATTTGCAGACTGTGACCGCATAGCCAGGGCTAGGGGAATGGGGTTCAGAGCCCTCAAGACTCAATGGATTGGGTTTGGAGATAAGACGTGGGGGGAAATAGACTTGTTAGGAGAAATGGTGTTGCCTTCAGAGGACTTACGGGTTCTCAGGTATAGATTTAATATATTTCTTAATTTTTCCTCTCATGTAAGGTATTGGTTGGAAAGGGGGTTGGGTGTTAGAAGAAGGATTTCGGTACTGGGGAGGAGGTTTGGGAGTGTTGGTGAGTTAGAGGTGTGGGAGACTTGTGGCTTAGTGCAAGCAGTATATCTTCCAACCATCTACTATGGACTTGAGTTTGTAACTGACCACGCATCGTATGTGAAAAAGATTCAGGTCCACATTAACGACTGCTACCGATCAGTGTTTCGAACGCCTGTGAGGTTGGCAAACAACATACTGATAGTCGAGTTCGGAATGCCGCCTGTTGCTATTCAGGAAAGGTACCTACAACGGAGGTGTTATAGTTAGTCCACTAATTACCGTTATTGTGACCAGCATTCATGGTTGGGGAAAATATGACTACAGTAGAGAGAGGAAGGTATGGTGGCATATCGGCAGAGTTCGGACAAGGAGCTCACCAGTTGTCCATCAGTCTCGATTGGGAAAGGCAAGGCAGTGATGGCTGCATGCTACCGAGTGTTGTATAAAGATTTATGTACATCTTCGGATGTGGTTATATACACAGATGGGTCCAAGTGCTCTAAGGGGGCTGGTGTAGCCTGGGCGGTGTTTGAGAGAGGGGCCTTGAGCCATGTTGACGGATGCTCAGTTCCCCCATCCTGGAGTATTGTAGAATGCAAGCTGTTTGCCGTTGTGTGTGCCCTCCGGCATGCACAGGATATGGCAAAGAGATGCTCAGTTCATGTGTTCTTAAACTGTATACCAGTCCTCATTATGGTTGACAACATGTTTTCGGATGGTGACTCAGCTGAGTTGTGGGAGGTAATGGTACCCCTATTGACTGCATTCTCACATATTAGTTTCGGCTGGGTGCCCAGCCATATGGGCGTTGATGGCAATGAGATGGTCGACTTGAAGGCCAAGGCGTGTATTGGACGCCCCTTACACTCTCTCCACTGGGAAGGGGTTAGCTTTGGGGTCGGCCAAGCGGCCCTGGCCCGGGAGCTTCGAAAAGAGGAATGAGAGACTTGGCATGCTAGAGAAGGGTACAGATACTATGCTAGAGAACCAAAGGCGCCTCGGTACCTGCATGGCCTAACCTGGATGGATTCCTATATTTTAATGAGGATCCGTAGTGGGATGGGCATGGTTGGCCATGATGGCTGTGATAGGTGGAAAGACCGACATCACTGGACTAAGTACCTCCGCTATGCTAGAGGACGACCTGCTGATGAAGACTTGTATAAAGATTCGGCAGTCCCGAGATGGAAGTACTGGTGGACGGAACATTGGTGGCTGGAACTGGGGGTCCCTCGCCATGTCAAACTAATAGATGGGGAGCTGGTTGTGGTGGGTAATCCCTTTGATGGCACGCTAATGGTGGAACGGAATGGGGGGACAGTATTGATAGGAGACTTTACGACCTGCACCCAGTGTGAAAAGAGACACGATGGCAGTGGCTGCATTTTGCCTGGTGAGATGACACTACCGAAGAAGTGATTCTTTTTACCCAACCAGCGACGGTGCAATTGTCCCTGTTGTGGTGCTGCCATCGCTGTTGCAGCTACAAAGAAACACACCACCTTCACTGAACACTTCGAAAGGCGTCCCCGGTATCTACGGATTTGTCACGATCGATTTTGGCACTCCCAACATTTACCGTGGGATGAGCTGAACCTGGCAACATGGACATCGGTGGTCTTGAGATGGGCTACGGTGAACCGGTTACTGAAGGAATCACGCTGCTCCTACGGCGGTGTAATATTGGCAGAGGGTTATTTGGATCTTGGGTTGCATTACAAGAGGACGGAGGGATGTTGGGATAGACTGTATGTTTCTTTTGTGGAATATGTAGAGCAAATTGTGTTGGAGGTGGATAGGAGTGAGAGTATGAGATTGTGGCTGTGTAGTAAGGTGGGAAGACGCATTAATCTGGGGCAGAGCTAGTTGCTGCGAGCGCCTGTGAGCCCACTTAGGTAGTAATTTTTGGATTTATGTTTGGGGGGAGCGGTTGCAAGGTGCAATGGTCTGTGGTAGTGTATTTTAAATAGTTTGTTTTATGGAGTGCAGAGGAGACTGGTCGTATGCTAGTATTGGCGGTACTAGTATAAATAAAATTAGATTGAATTCTAAGTACTTTTCTTACTTATTACTTTAAAAATATAAAACACCTTTACGATCTTTATCTGTATTACAATATTTATCGTTACGCAAAGGAAAGCTCTTCACGGAGAAGAGTTAGAGAAAGCTTACAATAGGCGTTCCTGATAGAAGACAGAGGTCTTGTACTATCAGTAATGTAGGTAGAGGTCTAGTACTATTGTAAGACACAGAAAGAAGAAGAAAGAGGAGAGAAGTATTGTTCCCTGTCGCTACGAACTAACCATCCGAGGAGGGATCATTACATTACCACTATTATTTCTGATAGCTAGAATAATTTGTACTTGCATTACCTCTTGTAAGTGAGACCTTTTTCTCACATAACATTATGTAAGTATGTAGAGAGTATTGATTTAACTTATAGTATAGGAAAGAATATAAGTGGTTGGGTGAGGTGTTTGTACCGGAGGTTCTTGGACCTTGCTACTTATACAGACACCTCACTCAACCCTAACCCTGTATGACTCATACCTTCACCTCACTATATCCTATGACTCATAATTGTGAGTCATGTAAAATCCTTAGTTGACTCATTATGAGTCAACTGCACAACATACTTAAACCAATCATAATCCTTATAACAAATCATATGTGCTAAATGCATCACATGTGTGAAACTCGTGACTCATAAATATGAGTCACACAGAAAAGTCATAACATCATATGACTCACAACTGTAAGCTATCGTATAACAATAAACTCCTATGACTTGCAAGCACAAATGATGTGAAAATCTTTATTCCATCTCCTTAATCTCCCTTATTACAATCTGGTTTGTGATAGCAGTTTATCGTGATGTTTTATCACATACTCCTTTCTCTTCTTTTGACACTCCTGAGAAATGAATGGCTTCTTACAGGCCTTGTGTTGGGAATAACCTTTGTTTCCCAATACTTGATAAATTGTAGTTGCTGATACATGAAGTCCCGCTTCTTGACTAAGTATTTTCCAGTAAAGCTTTCTCCCTTCCCAGTTTTTGCGAAGCAGGTAGATCAAGCGCCAGATATCTTGCTGTATCAGAGCTAGTGGACGTCCAGAGCAAGTATGGTTGTGCTATGAGCATTGCGTTATTGACTACAAATTTACTGTTAGATAAGGAATACCAGTTCGATGTGAGACTTCTGCCTACAAAACACCAGTATCTAATAGAGTAAGGATTCTTACTCTTGTAGGAGTAGTCCATTCAACTCTTGGACCATTACGTGGTAGCGTGGAAGGCATTTGTTTAGAATGGTTTTTTATGGAAAAATCAGTTGTGATGGTCAGGTGTCAATGAATTTTGCAGATAGCCTCATACCAACATGACATGATACCAACGCTTCTCCAGTCAGTCAGATAGACAGACAGACTACATTAGACTACCGCGCTCTTAGGGCAAATGTAGTCTACTCTACAGCTCATGTCATACTTGGTCCAAAATAAATTAAAAAAAACGCCCCCTGAAACGCCAGCAATGCTCATCCCCATCCCACCCACCGGTTCCAGTTGTATGGTACGGTTAGTAGGGCAAAAGTTACCCTTCCTTCCCTCATCCCTACTCGCACTCTCCCTTCCTTCCATGCATGCATTCCGTACCACAAAAGGCACGAGTGAGGTGAGACAAGGTACAGTACTCGTACTCACTCGCCCGCGGTTACCGTAGGCTAACATTATCCGAGACGAAACGCGAACGGATTCGCTTGTGCTGGATCTTTGTCCAGTGGGATGGAGATACGTGCGAGGCTTGTACGAGTACGGTACCAGTAGAGTACGGTACGAGTACTATTGTGCCATCTGTGAATTGCTTCACGGTATAATAGTGCCAAGAGAAAGAAGATGGGAGATGGTGACTTTATCTGTACACATGTCGTACTATACTAAATTTATAGTACTGGCAATGCGGAGTGCTCTATAACCGACACTGTGCCTTCCTTTCTCTTCTGATATCTGTCTACTATGCATGTGCTCCTGGTTCCGCTCCCTCTCCGGCCCGGGAAGGGGGGAGGGAGGGACTTGAATCATGGTACCGGTATCTTATCCAATCCCGTCCACGGTATCTTTGGCTTGCGTGAAGCACTAGCATTCCATGTCTTTGCCATAAACAAGTGCTGTACTGCAAACTGCACTCGCGCGGCCGAGTTGGACACTTTGTATTGTATTGGAGCTCCAACTCGGCCCCACCAGTAGTCTATAATACCAACCAGCACAGTACTCCAGACAGCTGCTAGTATGGTAAGTAGAAACACGCGCAAGTAATTGGGAGAAGGGCCACAATCGCGAATCACAATCCCCTTCGATTAGACCAAGCCTGGTTTCGACGGATCAGGAGCCAAAAAAAGAGAACTAAAATAAAGACAACTTCAAGATTTCCAAATCACAAGCACCAAACCCGGCACCGCAGGAAATCCCAACCAAGAAAAGAAAAGAAAAAAGTCTTGGCAATTGAGTTACAGTAAAGTAAGTACTACTCCTTCCAATCCAGCCATACAGCATCATACCATAGCTCTCTCACCACCCCAATCAACCACCACCACCTTTTTATCACCCTTACTTTTACTCAACCTTCGCAACGAAAACGCAATGATCTCCGACACCCAACTAAACTCCATCGCAATCTTCCTTGGCACGCTCATGATGGGCCTGATAGTGCTGTACCACTTCCTAGCCGTGAACGCTAGCGACTCCACCGAGAAGGTCGGCAAGGGGGTCAAGAGTGTACATGCTGGACATGTTGGACGTGTAGGGATGAAATGGGAGAGGAGAGAGGATTGGGGAGGGAAGTGAGGTGAGTTTGGATTGTTCGGTTTGGTTGGGATAGAGCTGATGGTTGTTAATGTAGGGTTTTTCTTTACTGTAAACTTGGGATGGAAGGGGGAAGTGGACTTGCTGGACTAGACGCTTGTGTGTGTACTCTACGGGATTGTGTGGAGGAGGAGGGGGGATGTGCTGCTGAGGTTTCTATCAAATTTGTTGGGGTTTCTCTTCCTTTTCGTTACGGGTTTTGGACACCTTTGTCTTTCCGGGTATGATGGTGACACAAACACGAATACTGTTCTCGCTTTCTCAGGTACAAGAATACGGTAGAGTTTGATACCAAAAATTTTTTTCCTTACTTGCGGGTTGATATAATTACTCTTCATCTATTCGATTGATTTAAATTACTTGTAGCGTCTTGTGCTGGGGATGGAGAGCTATGCGATAAGCTCTCAGGAAACGCTACAGCACCGACTACCCGGCGAGCAAACTGACTAGCACAATCAATCCAATACGAATCCACGAAATAACTTTCGTATAGTACAGTGTATCACCGAGATAAACTCCATCCATCCGTCCATAAAGAAAGACCAAAAGCCAAGCAGAGATAAAAAAAACACCACAAAGTAGAGGGAGAGGGGGAAAGTCACATCATAACTCATGACGAATAATAATCTCAACATCACCATCGGTAAACGGATCATTAGCACCCCTCAGAACCACACCCCCAAGAGTCCTAATCTCGGCTTTCTTCGCCTCATCGCCAGCCCCCAGTTCCTGGGCTTTCTTCGGCACCTTCGTGGCCTTGTCTTCCCCGACCTTGGCCTTGTCTGTATGGTACTTCTCTATCTGGCCCGGTGTCATGATCTCACGGCACGAGATGCTGTTTGCGCGGTCCTCACGGGGAGGCAGGAACGCTACGTCGTTGCAGAGGCGAGGGGTGTAGACTACCATTAGGTAGCAGCATATGGAGACCTCCTTGATCCAGCCGATGCGGTCGGAACCTTGGGAGTTGCAATGGAACTATTTTTCGGACATAAATCAGTATCGCTTCCATCCATAAAGCCCGCCGACCCCTCTCAACACAAAACAATTTCAAAACCACCCTCCCCCCTCCAGCCCGAGCAGATACCGGACAATTGAACTAACCTGAACCTCGATTTTCCTCTCTTTCCCAGTGAGGTCACATGTGGTCCCTCCTCCAAGCTTCTGCACCAAGAACCTCAATTCTCCGGTAGCCTGCAACTCCGTGCCCTCGCCCTTTTGGCCTTTGGTGCGCTTCGCGGCTTCGGGGGAGACTTGTCCGAGGACGTATGATGGTGTAGCCGGGTCTTCGGCCGGCGGCCAGGTGTTCACGCCGTTCTGTGGTGGCTTCTGGTGGAATTGGCGGATTTCATGGTTGTGGCAGTATGAGTAGCTCCACCAACCGGACACCTGTTATGCCACCTCCATATTAACATACGAAAGTAGAGTGAGGGGGGAGGAGGAGGAGGGAGCGTACAAAATATAAACAATGTCCCTCAAGATCAGACAGTAGTTCCCACCCCCTTGTCGTCGCCCTGACGAGTTCCTTCTCTTCCGCTGCTTTGGATAGCTCCTTCTCCGTTGCATTCATGGGCGGTGCTGGTGTGACGATGGGCACCGAGCATAGGTACCGGCGTCCGTTTAGCCATAATGCTTCGTAAGTCTCTACTTCATGAGTTCCCTCCCCTTCTCCTTCCCCGTCCCTTGCTGCGTCCGGACCCGCATCCTCCCTAACTGTACCCGTAGCTCTCGGTTGGGGGTTCGAGGATATGGTCGGTGCCGACGAAAGTCTCTCTTCAGCTTCTTCCTCGAGGATAACGTCGTCGTAGAACTTAATCTCGTACTATATACCCAACTCAGCCCCTTAGTAGAAGAAGGGAAAAGGCGAAGAAAAAAAAACGCTGCGAGACAAATATGCGGATCAAAATACCTGTGGAAATGCCAATAAGTCGTCATGAACGCTAAACATTCCGTGAACCCCCGACCTCGCGACTATTTCCCCCATGAGGAGGATTAGAATCCCTAGTCGCGCCATGATTACTCAAGGGTGATTGATCGCTTCTCTTTCACGTTTGTCGTGTGGTGAAGAGGTAGAGGTGGATGGGGAGTGGATTGGTGTTTGTGGTTAAGAATATCGGTACTCGTATGATATTGTTCATGATTGAGCTTTTTTGGGGGGGGAAAGGGTTTCGGTTGATTGCCGGTTGTCAAGAGGCCAACTTTCATTTGGTTGCGCGCTTGCGGCGTTCACGCCACCCCTCTCCCCCGCGTTGCACGGATGGTCACTCGGTTGGGCAACTTGGGTTGTTTTTCTAGGTTCTTGGGAAAGGGAATTGGTTTTTTTTTCGGTATTCTCTGCCATTCTATTACAGTATGATACCTTTGTATGCTTTGATTATTTAGAAAATATGGGGGGTTCACACCATGATTGAGGGAGAGTACGACAGAGCGTGGCCTTCCACCGAGGGACTTGGGCTGTCAGTAGGAACTTCATGTCGGACTTGGACTAATTACTGAGGTTCGTAGTGCTGCCACGGTCTGGAGGTGACACAAACCAGGTTACTTTTCTGGGCTCTTCAAACGTAAATTATTGTCCGCTTGGGATTGAAGTATTTGGGGATCGTCGCACTTAGATCGTCGACCGCGGCATAATCTGCACTTTCATTATTCCACGAGCCTTACCGGTACTTCCTGATTGCCTGGGTAACACCATAGCCGAGAGTAGGAATTTGATCCTTCAAGCTAGCCCACAGAGAATGGGGGGTCCGGGGATGCGCATATCTTATATGCCGGTGGGCCCAACCTATATTATCCTGATGTCTTTTTCTTACCGGGTACCCGCAGAGCTATAAGCACTCGTACAGTCGATAGGCAATACGGGAGGGCACAAACGCCGTCTGGATCACCGCGACCCTCCCCCTCCGCATGGTCAATGCTGGCATGGTACAGATCATCATTAGGCTAACCTCTCGCGACTAACTTAGAGGCAAGGTTGGTTTGCACTTTGTTGTGGCCGCCGCTATCGCCCACTAACTTAACTTATAGCATAATTTAAATACCGGTATGGCACTGCGCATTCGCTATTTAGAACTTGTGACCTGTGAGAGATGAGGCAACAGTGCAGTCATACAAAGGCGGATCAAGGCTGATAGCCGCCTAGGGATTATGTGAGTGATTATATACTCTTCTAGTAGTATTTACTGTATTCAAACTTGGTGTGCGCAGTGCTTGGTTTGGGTTTTCATAAACTCTTTTTATTTTTTGAGCTTCAATTAGATCACACAATGTTACTCGAAATATTGAATATTTCGTCAATCTTGTAGGGACCTCGGGGTGAATTGATCCCTGTTTTGAAAGGATTATATGGGTGCAGCCCAATAGAGAAGCGATGTCTATCATACCTGGCAGAGTGGTAGAAACCTATTAGCATCACGGTTAATGGCAGGGCCGCATACTGATGGATTGCGGGGGAGCAGATTGGGTGCCGAGTGAGATATGTCAACCAAGGCAGTGGCTTAGGCCTGAAGAGGTGAGACTTGTCATAGAGCGGTGCTACTTTCGCTTCCGCCTCGGATTTCCACTAGACTACTGCTCGAGTAACAATATGGCTATGCATCATTCATCATACTTAGACTTACTGTTGAGGTCCTGAATCTTCGCGAGTGACTACTGATGTCCTGGTGTGTCACATGACGAGGAAACACGTTACTACTCACTTATGATAACAATACACTTTGGTTGTCATGAAAGGAAACCGACACAAATTATTTATTTATTTTTTGCTCCCCCGCCTTCCAGCGTGGAGATGGTGTGCGGGCATAATCTATATTTTCACTGACGACCAGAGCGCAAACGAGAATAATGAGTCAAACCAAGTTCGGACTTCCGCTGCTCCTAAGGCCACGATTTTTACTCTCTCCGAGATACCCCTCCCTACGAGTGCTGGTATCAATGGCAGGGGCTCGCGCTCGCTCTCCATCCCCGGGGGGCAAACTCCATCAGAAGCGCAGACGACTCATCCCGAACCCTTTCACCGCCACATCCTCTCCCCCACCAACAAACGCCTCAAAAAGATACAGCACAATGGCAACCCCCACTATTCCTATCACCCCGCGTACGCTAACCCTCTCGCCTGAGGAAGCCACCGTCCGCAAACTCTTTGTTGACGTCGCGCAAGAAATCGATAAGGACAAGCCCAAGGATGACCGCCTGGTTTTACGCTTCACCGGCGGCTGGGTCCGCGACAAGCTCCTAGGTACCCGAAGCGTGGACATTGACGTGGGGGTAAACAATATGAGTGGGTACGATTTCGCAACTCGGCTGTCCGAGTACATGAATGCAAACAGAGACGAGCCCAGCTCTAAACCGTGCAGGGTGAGCAAGATCGAGAGCAACCCCGAGAAGTCCAAGCATCTGGAGACTGCTACTGCAAAGGTTCTAGGATTGGATATCGACTTTGTCAATCTGAGGAGTGAGACGTATTCTGGAGATAGTCGGATCCCACATATGGTTTGTTCCACTCTACCTTCCACTGTTTCATGGGGGGGACGTTGACCTGATGGCCTTAGGAATTCGGAACCCCAGAAAAAGATGCCCTCCGCCGCGACTGCACTATCAATGCCCTCTTTTACAACCTGCACACTGAACAGGTGGAGGACTTCACAGGCCTCGGCCTGCAGGACTTGACCGCCCGCCTAATCCGCACCCCTCTACCCCCGAGAGAAACCTTCACCGATGACCCCCTCCGCGTCCTCCGCTTAATCCGCTTTTCCTCACGACTCGGCTTTACTATAGTTCCTGAAGTCAAAGCCGCCATGAAACTCCCGGAAATCAAGGCATGTAACCTCTCCTCCCCCCAGACACAGATTATCACTCACACCAACTGACCACCTCCCCCCTATTTCGCAGTCTGCCCTCAAAGCCAAAATCTCCCGCGAGCGCGTCGGCATTGAGATTGAAAAAATGTTCAAAGGCTGCAATCCCCATGCCTCCCTGAGCCTAATCCACGAGCTGGACCTCTACAACGAGATATTCGCCCCACCGATCCAAGACCTCCCCGTCCTCCCAGTGCAAGATATGAAGATAGCCGCCGATATTGTGCGCCGCCGACTCTTCGAACACGCCCATTCGCGCCCGCGCATTTCCAAGCTCTTGATGACTACTCCCGAAAGGTACCTTGCGTGGCTAATCGCCGCCGCGAGCCCCTGGAAAAACCAACCTGTGTTCCCAGCCGACAAGAAGAAAGCGCCCGCCGCCGCCACAGCCATAAAAGAAGGTTTAAAGTGTCCCAACCACGTCAGCGGGACAATAGCGAAAGCATTCACAAACCGGAGGGCCATCCAGAACATGGTCACCAACGTGGAGCACTGGGGCAGGAGCAAAACGGGCATGGAAATGCACGCTTTGGGTGCCGACTGGAAGAATCAGGTTGGCGCTTGCTTGATGTTCGAACTCATGGACTCGGAGGAGAAGAATGCTAGCGATGATGAGGTGGAGGGAGTAATGGATAAATACGAAACCTTTCTAAAAACCATTGCGGAGAGGGACCTGGAGGAGGCTTATACTATTAAGAGTTTGTTGAATGTACCACCCCCCCTCCCCTCCCCCCTTCCCGCAAAAGCGGAACAGTAACTAATAGCAGGGGTGACCAGGGCCAAGACATAGCAGCAGAATACGCCCTCCTCCCAGGACCTTGGATGGCGCCTACCATTAAGGCATCCCTCCAACACCAACTCGATAATCCACATAAACCCAAGGATGAGCTACTGCAGTGGGTTCGCGAGAACCGGCAGGTGCTGTTGGATGGGCTGGAGTATGTCGGTGTTGGCGAGGGGAAGAGGAAGAAAAGGTGACGAGATACATAGGAGGAAATGAGAAGTGTAATGCTATGTCGTGTTTTTCTGTTATGTACAATAGAATTCAGGGTTCATTACTACTACCAGCAGTGGTAGGGTAGTAGTAGGAAGTCGAAATTAAGCCAGCGGTAGGCGGCTTCTTCAAAAAACCCCATATCCATCAATCCGCCAATCCGCCAGTCCATCCGCTATATCACACGAGGGTAGAGTAGGGTAGAATAGAATATTAGAAAGAAAAAAAGAAAGAAAGCAAAAACAATGCCAGTCCACGGAAATAGTAGAGTACAGAAAATAGCATTCACCACCACCAACACCTTCAAATTGCCAATTCCGCTTTTTTTTCTCTATTTTTCTCGAGATTTCAGCAAGAAAGGAAAAAAACTCCTCCCTTCCACACATGGAGAAGACAAAAAAGAGACCCCCCCCACCGACGGGGGCGAAAGGGAAATATATATAATATATCAAAACACCCCAGCTTCCAGTACATGAAAACCTCCACACTACATCAAACAACCACACTGACTTTTAACCCCTTTTGATCTCTCTCACGATTCCACCTATAAATTAACCAAGGACGCCCAAAGTGAATCCAATATTATGAGACAAACAGACGAGAGAACTAAACGGATAATTTATCTATCTTTTCTCTCCCGGTTGTGGGGAAAAAAAGAGAGAAATCTAGAAAGGAACAGATGGAGTGGTTGGCCCGGTGCCTGATAGCGCTGCTTTTTCTTGAATTGCCTGGATGGCTTCCGTGGCGGATTCGATGGATACGGAGAAGCCGAGTTTTGCCTGATTCTGTTTTTATTGGTTATTGGTTAGATACGCGAAAAGAAGGACTCTATGTAGGATATGTACCTTAAAGTGATCCACATCACCAACGAATGTTAGGGTGACAGCCGGTGCAACTCTCTTTTCCAGCATGCAGGCCAATTTTCCTTGAGTATCCACCTGAGCTCTAAAAGTCGACATTCTAAAGTCGTATTTAGCACCCAAGGTGGTGACACCCTCCTTCTTCATGCTACCACCCATCATGCCGCCTCCCCCGTCCCTGGCCATTCCTCCGGCAAGTGTAAGCTGGCAGTCCACTCCCGCTTCCACCCGCTCCGCGATCCTGCGCCAGTACGTCGCCTGCAGCGCTCCGCCGGCTTGCAATTGTGCCGAGGCAATCCAATCCTTGGTAGCGTATCGGGCAACGTACGATAGGGCTGTTTCCGGTCCAAGAGAGGCCGCAGAACGCTGCCAGACAGATTCTACGCCGAGGGCGAGGTTGGGGGTGATGGACTGGAGATACGAGCCGATAAAGATACCCGTGAGGGTACCTTCCAGTAGCGAAGGGTTGAAAGCCTTGATGCCGGCGGAGAAGTCTGAGCCTGAGTAGTCCGTATCCATCGTGAAAACAGACTGGGAGGGTTGACTTGGAGGTGCCAATTGAATATTGAATTTGCTGGTGAGTTCGGGTAACCAGCGGTAATTGAAACGGCCTGCCAATTGACCTTCATTGTCGAGGTTGGCTTGAAGGAATGCCTATTTTGGGTTAGCAAATGTGAAAAACCTTTATCATTCCCATTCTCCCACCACCGAAGTTCCTCAAAAGGAAAAAGTTTTTTTCCTTCTTCATTTCCCAACGAAGAGCGAACAACGAACCCACGATTCAAGCAAAACATAATCCAAACATTGCAAAATATTGGTAAAAGGACCGAATCAAACGAACCTTATTGGTCCCAAAGATAGCGGCAAAAGTGTAGGGTGGGATCCCCTGAGCGCCCATGGCAAATGCATGCGAAGTCTGGAATATAGGATCCATGGAGAAACTTTTTGAAAAGTCCGCCCTCATCCCCGTAAACGCGTAATTATTGAGAAAAACATCTTTCTGGACCTCGCGGGAGACATTCTCGACAGTGCCCGGGTTTCCCAGGCCCAGGGTCGCCCGACGCTCATAGAATGAATGGGAGAGCGACGATAACAGAGAAGTGATCGGGTTCTCCGTCAAGAAGGATGGGACTGGTTTCCCGCCCATGAGGATTGGTGCCGTAGCCGTAGGCATTGATATGATAGCTGCGGCTGCTACGGCGGGGAAGGATGGAGGGTGAGGTGGGTAGGTGGATGAGTGTGGTGGGGTGGGGTGGTGGGGGAGGGGTGGGAGAATTGGATTCAAGACAAGATAAGAACTCTAGAGAAAAAGGGAATGTGTGTATGGAGCGGTTTACGGTGGGGGGGTAGAGAGCAATAGAGGTAGGGATTAAAAGGTTAGTGGGGGAGAAAGTTCGCTGAGATGGTAACTTCTGGCGGAGGTTTCAATAAAGTCGGGAACAGAAAGGAACCGTGGCGCGCCGAGGCTCCCTCGACGTAGCTTGGCATCCAAATTATTTTTCTTAGAATTTTTTTTTTTTTTTTACCCGTACCCTACTAGTATCGTATGCTATGATATGATACGATGTGATACAGTTTCTGCCTGCCCTACTCGAGTACCTGAGGTTGCCAACTTTTTCCTTTTCCCTTCACCCCTCCACAGTCTGTAGAGTTCAAAAGGTATGCGCATGTCTAGGAACGTGAGTGGCGTCAGTTAAATGCCAAGGGAGTGGCTGGTGAGCACAAAGCTCCTGATACTCGTAGTCTACGGTAGTTGAGGCTCTTCTTTCATCCCATCTTCCTCCACCCACAATGTGTTGGGTCCGTCAAATTAACATGTGCCAAAAAAGTAGAAACCAGAAAATCTCAATTGACGCCCAACACTATGATAGGAAGAAGAAATGCGCAAGTGTAGGAGATAGCAAGTTATGTTGGATCTGCCCCCTTTTGATCTAAACCCTAATTCCGTCGAAACCTCCGCGGCGAGGGTTCGACCAAAATTCACACACAAAGTTTCACCTGTACGTCCGACCTACTCCCTGGTCTAACACGTTAGCGGCTTACAATATTCGAGCGTGAGAGCAGTGCATCGCCAATTCCCTGGAAGAGGACGCTGAGGCTTGTGCAATTAGCAGTTCGACCGTATGTGACTTCAGCCGATAGAGCATCCGCACGACCACACTCTGGAGAACTGGGTAAAGGGTCGGAGTGACGTCTAGCCTTTCCAATCCTTCATTCGCCTGAACTTTTGGGCACAATCCTGCTCGGGTGCCATTTGAAGGCACCATTCGGGTTCGGTGTGCAGGGGCTCCAGTGCACAGTATATTCAAATGTTATCTTTACCATATAATACCTAAACAGAACAAGCCTTAACCAATGCAAAGACTGAAAAAACCAAGTGCCACATTTCCATATACAACCCCATATAAGTAGAGTCCATCCCTTAGTTAGCCCCTGGTATGCAATCTGATGCCTGCGTGCATCGTGGGGTACAAGGACCGTCGATGGAGGCACCAGCGCATTGGCTTAAGGGGGTCACAGAACATTCAGCAATATCCAAATCCACCAACAGCCAAGAAACCCGGAATATTTTCCAGCCCAGTACAGCAGCCGAGAGGGAGTCATAGCAGGTTCGGTGCAGCTAAACGCATTGCAGAGCTTGAACAAGCTATATAATCAGTGCACGGTCGCTCAAAGTGACATTCCACAGCCGGATATGAAAGAGTTCTTTGGATACCGGTTGTTAAACCACCACACACAGTAATAGAGGCATTCAGCCCCGGGGTCGAAAAACGATTATGCAGGTTTTTCGAGTCGAAAAAGATGCAGCAACGCGATCCTCAATAGAGTTAGCAACACATGCTACTAAATAAAACAGGTTTAGAACAGCCCAACTAAAGGCAATACAGGAAAAGGTGGTGTGAAAAAATCAGTAAACTAAATCAAGTGAAAAAGTAATAGGAAGAACAAGAAACACCTTCCAGTCTTGAAGTAATATCACCTTCAAAAATGGCAACAAGGGAAGAAATTGAATTGGAGGAAGTGGCAGGCGGTCGATACGATGAAGACCTCAACGGGTTTGACTCTGCTCAAACAGCAACACCAAATCAGCAAGCATCTAGTTATTCGGCCGGAAGTATGACAGAACTACATGCAGGTGAAATTCCTGGGGCCATGCAGGAGGAAGAAGAAAGACAAGATGATCCAAAGCCATTAGAGGTAGAGGAAGAACAAGAAGAGGAGATAGAGCATCATAGATGCCTATAGCCAACTGATCCAAAAGAAAATGCCTCCTTGGAAGAATGTATGGCTCTTGTAATGGCAGTAAAGTCTCAAAATCCATTTAGTACACTACAAGGTAAATGGTATGCAAACTGGGAGGATGAGCTTAAAGATCTACAAGGAGAGGGGTTCTTTAAGGACAAAAAGACACAATTTCTGAAAATATGAATGGCAGAACTTCTTTATTTTATTAGGAATACCAGGATCTGATAGCTAGGAACTGCCCTAAGTAGGGTAGCCCCACTTGGAATCAGAATCCTTGGTCTCCAACACCATCCTCTGGCCCGATCATGGGCCCGCACATTGTCATATATATCAATCTCAATTGCGTCCAGTGACTATAATGTTACAGAAGTGAAGGTGTAAGAATAATACTAGATACGTCGCCACTGTCCATCCAACTGGATCCTGTTTGGGGGATATATAGGAGGGGACCTTTGGCTAGGTCAGGGAAGTGGAACGGAGTAAATTCATCAACTATGCAGAGAGTTACTAGGCTTCAAAGATGTGACATCTTTGACACAAGCTGTAAGTAACCGGACATTTAGGAGAGATGGTATCAAATGGTGAAGGATTTCAATGAGAATTCAATACATTCGCACCCACCCTATAATAATCAGAAGAGTCTAGAACTTCGACAAATACTACTACAGAAGCCAATAGACTGCACCAGGTATTACAACTGGGTCCAGGAACACGCAGTAGTTGTAGGAATAATTCCCAAGACTAGAATGGTAATTGAAACCCTAGTACCCATAGCAACCAAGAGTTGCCAACTGTGGGATAATCTATCAATCTGGTAGAATCGCTTCCTGTGAATTAGTAGAAAGTCTTCCGGAAAATATCTGTGTGTTGGATATCGAGCTATGAAGGTTTGAAGTCAGGTAACCAAGGAAGGTCGCAAATACAACTACCTTCACAGATACAATACGCAGATAAAACTGATGATTTCATTAATAACGGAGACAATTGAGACCAACTCAGTTCAACTTAAGAACTAGGCTGTAAGTTTAAAGACTCGGACAATTGGATAATTACTATTGGGAACAGCATGATTCCTAGTTAGCTATATCGCAATTACCAAAGAGGGTGGGTTGATTTTCAGGATCTCTGGGTATTTTTACCTTGAAGAATACTCAACGTTGTGAGTTATAATCAGAAGAGGTACATAGTTGTATAATAGATAGCTGTAGTCTGCAAACACTCAGATGCGGAATATAAATATCAAAGTACCTCCTAAGCTTTTAGACATCATCAAGCAATAGAGAAGAGACCTTAACAATATAATATTATCTTCATAATTCTACTGTAATTTACCTACTTGTAACGATCCCTCCTCGGATGGTTAGTTCTTGGTAACGGGGAACGATACTGCTCTTCTTTTTCCGTTTCTTTTCTTAGTCTTATGACAGCACTAGGCCTCTGCCTACATTACTGATAGTACAAGATCTTTATCTTCTATCAGGAATGCCTATAGTAAGCTTGCTCTAACTCTTCTTTGTGAAGAGCTTTCTCAGTATAACTATAAATATTGCAATAAAGATAAAGATCGTAAAGTGGATTTATATTCTTTAAAGTAATAAATAGGAAAAGTACTTAGAATTCAATCTAATTTTATTTAAACTCGTACCGCCAACACTAGCATACGACGAGCCCCCACTGGCATAGGGATACCGCTAACCGGTATACCACTAATCTTAAGCTAACTAATTCTACGGCCCTGCACCTACTATCTCTGAGTCATGCTCACACGGAAACTAATTACAAGACCATTGAACAACCCAGTGCCCGCCGCGGTCCATGTCTGTAGCCCCTCTGGTATGAAGCCAACCAGTACTAAGCGTAGCAGAAGCCGAGCAAAAGACCAATCGAACCAGGTTCCTCATCCAACAAAATATAAAATACTACCACCCAGTCTAAACACCATCACGCGAAACCACTACCACAGTAGAAAACCAACAAAAACCAAACTAAACCTACAAGTGGCATTATGGCAGGGAGGAGGTGACCTACATGTCCACCTTTTGCACCTGCATGTCAGGCCATTGACCCTATGAACTCACTTTGCCAGTTGCCTCTGAAGAGTGTACCTGTGAGGAGGACCTAGACCCGCTGTCTGTGCTCCAGACAAAACAATATTTAAACAAAAGAAATACATAGAGGTGGTAACAGACCACAAAGGTTAGTGGGGCCAATCACCCACCTGTGGTACTATGCCTCCTCCAGCCAAACCTGTAGCCAAGACAAGCCAAAAAAAACCAAACAAACCCCACGAAGTCCAGCATACAAGATTTAAACAAGTCCAACTAGGGGGTCACAACCAACTATCTGTACAAGTGGCCATCAGCCAGCCAGTCCATCGGGGGGCTTTACAGCACTCAGCAGCTTTGCCCAACAGCTCAAGCCAGATTGAAAACACTTAATTAGACCTCATCCAACCTGATGCAGGCCCGACCAGTGCTCGCAGGTGTCTCTTCCCCCTCAATCAGCTCTCCCCAAGCCCCACACACCAGATACCGCAGAGCCTATCCAGCCCCCCAGCCCCTTAGTCAGATCAACCATCTGATAGCCACAGGACAGCCCATACCTAGCCCCATTAGGCAGCCACTGGCCTTGGCCACACCAACAGAGCCCTATCCCCCAGCACCTTGTAGCTGAGGGTGACTCACCTGCTACAGCCGGGAGCCACAAAGGAGGCAGCACCAATACCCGAAGGCACTGGCACTAGTTACACCATCCAACCCAGTCGAACCGAAGTCCAACCAAGCTGGGAAAGAGTAGGCAGAGCCTGCCAAAGCCAGCCCCACAGGTCCGGCAACAGGCACAGACTGAACAACGGGCAAGAGGCACCCCCAACTGACGTGACGTGAAGAGGGAGGGGGCGCGAACAGCAGCAGACAAACAGAAGGTAGGCCCCACTTGCAATGGTTGAAGCCACCAACCACAATCCGTAACAGAACCATACAAACACACAGACAACATGAGTGTCTGGCAGCCAGTCGTACCACACCACCCCAGGCAGTAATGAAAAACTACACTTGGGGGTAAGATTTTTCAGAGTCAAAGCTATCCCCACTGAGGCGAGAAGGAGACACCTGACTGAAATACTGTAAATGCCGCAAGAACAAGACTCCGAGAGAACAGCAATAAACAATATCATAGGATTCAAACTGTAGAAATGAAAATGTAATGAGGAGGGGTGGGGTGGGTACTGCCCTGCCACCTAAGG